GGCACCCCTTGTAAAAATGGCTTGTCGCCTACGTCTTCTCCAAATTTGGAGCGTTTGGTACAACAGAACAGGAGGTAAAAATTTTCCTTCAAACATACGCACATACACACCCGACACATTCGTGAGCGCCTCAGTTTCGCTCAAATCATGTGAGTTTAAATGAATTGCTTCATTCATCTCTTTTTTCAACTTGGCAGCGCAAATACACTGAGATAACGCTCATTCTACGCACACTCCGCCACTTGTAGGCGTGGTCTAGTCATGTCACCTACCATGAGCATTCCCACCCTGTCTCCCGAACTGCTGCCAAATTTGAGCGCCAAGGCCAAATTACCATGTTTCGTAGAAGTTCCGCCCTGCCCTCGTGGGTGAATTCTGGCCATGTAACATACCATAAGTGTTCCCGTGCTCTTATTAATTTCGGTTCAAACTTTTATTTCGCGCAAACTCGGTGTGCGTTCCTGCCACCAATCATAGACATTCCCGTCCTGTCTCCTGTACTCCTGCGAAATTTGGACGCCTTTGGTTCAGTGGGACGGAAGTATGAGTTTCCGTCACACACACACACACACACATACACACACATACACACACACACACACACACAGCGGATTATATAAGTAGGATAGTAAAAGACGATTCAAATATGATGGGTACGTGAACCCGGAGATGAGAATGCATGGGGCTGGAGAAAAAACAAAAACACAGAAATATTAAACCGAAGGATCAATATTGAACACAGACGCGAAAAGGAAGTCGTTTCAAAGCTTCAGGATGAGTCACATCTTTTGATGGAAAGTGAATGATTAAGCCACATTGATCGACAGAGATATAGCAAGCCAGAAGGAGAAACGTTAACTGGCACAACGTCACTGGCTCGATAATCGAAATGATAAGCAGACAAATTCACGTTTCAGTCGAGTTTCGACCAGGGTGAACTGGGAAGGAAACAGCTCAACACAGCAATGAACACGTCATTTCCGGATTGGATCAATAATGCCATTTTCTTATCATGGGACGATTTCACTCCCATCGATAATGAATAATCCACGATTTAATACGAAAAGCCTACATTTTAAGACCACTCCAATATAAGTAGTAGATGAACAGGAAAAAGCGTCGTGTACGAAAGTGACCGTGCAGCAATGGGTAATTATGGCAAATTTTGCATAAAACAATCCGCATGGCATTGTGACTACACATGAAACATATTACAAGATGATAAGGATACTGAATAATGTTTTTTGTAATCTCGTATCGGAAGGATTTGAATTTCGTCTAGAAATTCATATTCTCACTGAAAAACCCAGCTGAAGAAACCAATGAACCAATAAAGTCCAAGCATAGAATGACATAGATAATTATGAGAAGGTTGTAATTTCAGAGGAGACCTTAAAATTCTTTAAATATGGTCAAGTCGTACTATTACTGGAGCCTTCTGAATACGAACTCTAATGCGAGGACCTGTACTCGGATCTTGGAGATTTGGTTTGGTTTGATTTGGAAAGAGAAGATGACCTCCATTGTCTTCCCATAAAAACTTGCTGAAGTACCACCCCAATTCAAATTCAATATTGTTTACATCATTTTTGTTCACTCAATTATCATTAACCCTGACCCTGAAATTTTCACGACCGAAAAAGTATCCTTTGTAACGTTTCTAGGAATATCATCAGCTAATTCTTGGGCATCCAACAGCCTGAACTGGGCGTGAAGCTGCTGTTTCTCGAGCAATAATAATCGGTAAGGAAGGAATGAACTATAAAAGCAAGAATCGATAAAATTGCTCCTTCGGCCACCAAGAGGTATTCGAAGTCTGATATAATGACTAAAGACTCTGACAGCATTCCTAGACTAAACATTGTCATAGGCACAATTTTCGTTTTTCTCTTTATTGAACATGATTCAGTCAAACGCAAAAGGGCACATGACTTATGTGTCTGTCTGTCAAGAGAAGTGTCATTCATCGCTATGAAAATTACTTCAAGAAAAAGCTCCCCGCCCTTCTACATACCTCCTACTCTTGCTGACGGCTCATCTGATTAAAGAAACAGACATAAAGATGGCTTCACTTATTTCTCCCTGGGATGAACTTGTGACCCCAAAGCATAGCACGAGGGAAGCTGTCGCGTTGAAAAGCGGCTTAGGTAGGGTATAATTAAGGGCCCGAATCCGCTTTGCTGACGTGCACGTCCGAAGACGGACGAGTTCTTACGGCGTTTTAGGGGGTGTGGAGATCGCGCCATTTTAACCGAGATACACACTTATCACGCAGTAGTTTGCTGTAGCCATGTGTGCGCAATGGCACTCACATTTGGACAGTTCGTCGAAATTGCCTCTTCCAAGCAACTTTTGTCGTCACATTCTCGCCCAACGGCTGTTTTTATTACTTTCTTAAAGCTTTATACTTTCCTTTGAATACCCGATTTTGGCATTTTCTTCCATCAATATCCGTCGATATCTATTATAGATACCCCAAATTATCGTAAACTTTACCTTCGAAGTGTTTGAAGCTAGGAGTCATCTAGATCACCTGTACTTCCTGAATCTTGAAGTTCAGCCACTTTTGCCAGGCTGCTTCGGTTTTTTACTTATCCTCCGTCAATTGAACAAGAAGAGACTAAGTGGTTTGAATAGGTTCTTGAAAAAATGAGAAGAGCTCTCGTTTGTGAATGAAGATAGTATGCAGTATCTTTAGCGAAAGCTCCCTCACATTTTCTCAAAAATCAGTTTCAAGCATATGAACTAGCGCTCTTATCGCAAATGTCTAATCTTCTTTATGTGGATGAAACCCTGCCCATCCCACCTAAATCTTCCACATCTATGGGATTTGTCTTTTTCTGCTGCGCTTCCTGGTTCAACTCAACATCATAGTACATTATGCAATGTGGTGTACTTTTTTTAACTTCGCAGATCTTCAGTGTCAACACGACGTTCGTCCAATATGCTGAGTCTGCTATTTTGAAACCTGAAAACACAACCACTCGTCTTGAGTTTCGAGAAGTTGAGCAGCACCTTGACGAATTTTTCTTGACGTTATCAGTTCTATGAAGACCATTCTGACAGGGGTGATTAGCTGCAAGATAACCCTGCCCACTTCTTATGACCTTTGCCTTTTCCATCCCTTGGTTCCGAATGCTGAGGAACTATCATAGATATCAAATAAATCTTCATAAGATGGAATTAAACCATTCGATCGGCTACGATAATAGGTCTCTAAAAATGCTTTGCTATGTTACCGTTCCTTCGCCAGTTTCTCTTGGCAAGGTTTGTTTGCAACAAATACAATTCATCCCATTTGCAGAAGTAAAACTGGAGGCGTCACTCTGGAATGTCCATCACGCAAAACTTCGTAGATTTAGTATTAAAGGCACGGTTCACGATAAGAAGGTTACTGAGTTCTTCCTTTAGGAATACTCACTGCCCCCCATGGGTGGTAGAAGGGACCCTCTCGCTCCCACAATCTCGGCGCTTAGGACGTAGTGGAAGCCCTGTTGCTGCCGTAATTGGCTTTAACGCCCCTCGATCGATGTCACGTTAGACGAGTGTCGAGACAATACAAGCTGCAACTATTCGTTCTAGGACCCACACACAATCAGCTGATCGCTGAGTGATGAGGCTATGTTTTTCTCCCACTTTTCTCTTCTGTCATTCTTCTTACTGCTGTGATCCCTTATTTAATTTCCTACTCCTTGAGGCTGAAAAAGGTGAGCAACTTTTGCTGTTACGAGGGGTTTTTGTTTACTCATGCTTATAAATAAATGAATTTTTGCATACCATAGTCTGTTATTCGCACCAGGACCCACACGTACGCAGTGAGACACATTGTATAGCTCGTCCGAACTCCCCACTCTTCTTCGTTTCTCTGGTCTCATTCTCGTCCAGCCCCTTTTTTACGGTTTTTCGAAGCCTTTTTTCACTTTGGAGATACCGATTCACGCAGTTTTTTCCCTTCATCGTACCATTTCCGATCTTGTCCTCCATTTTTCATCATAATCTGGATTATCCAAAATTATCGTGAACTGTGCCGTTAAGAACATTTGAACAGGAGGCGTGCATTCGTCAGGTCATCAGCGAAAACTCGAGCTTGAGAGCATCTGGAACAGCCAATTCCTGGATCACCACCGTTTGCTAGGCAAGTGGTGGTAGTAATGGTATCGTTGGGGACAGATAGGAAACACCGCACGAGAAACCATTGTCAAAAGTAACATGATGTGCGAATATTGAACCCCTTATGGCCTCTCATAGAACTTTTCGTGCGTTTTTGCCAGCCTTTTTTACGGAACTCTTGAAGGCAGGGCATGGCTGCGTAAAGTTTTTATGCCATCACCACATTTTAATACAGTGGCATTTATCTGATAGAAGCAGTACCTTATTATAGAATAAGGAAAAGTTATCTAATCACTTCAAATCTATTGTCGCCTTCATCTACAGTTTCCAGCTCGGCGAATCTTTCGCGAATAGTGTTTTGCTGTTTTAATACTGTTTTTTTCATCTTAGCTTCTTTCCTGTTGGCATAGCCCTGTGTTAGAAAGCGTATGGAATACGTACATATATTCTCAGGTGTCGTGCAACTAAGAATGAGTGCAACCTCCCATGCTACTGTGGGGAAAGAATGTCCAATTTTACAGAATCGGTGAAACCTCCCTTTTACCATCGTTTTGTGCTTCTAACACTTAATGTTCCGTTTGCTTTCTTTTGTGCTATTTTCAATTAGGCTAGAGTATATGGCAATGCGAAGATCAATTTCTCCTTCTGTTTATTACTTTTATTACTACTCTCCATGAGCAAAATAAACAAATCTATACAAGACATTATTACTATTATTACTACACTCCATGAATAAAATAAACAAATCTATACAAGACAACAAGCTTCTCGAGTTGAGCAAGAATGGAAACAATGGCACGTGAACATTGAGCAGTACTTTCTCATCAGCAAAACAACAATAGCTTAAAGTCTATTAATATTTGTAGCCGTATAGTTTCATATGATATCATTCAATTATTTGATTCTATGGCATAACCACGTTTCGGCCCTTTTGTTTTTGACCTGGAAGTTCTTGTGTGCCATACGAGAATCTCCTTTGGATAATCGTTATAACCAAATGGCTCGAGGTCTTCCTTCTTAAATCCAAACTGTGAGAGGAAGCACGATTCAGGGCCTTGTTTGTAGGTCTTTGCGCAGCTCAGGTTGAACGAGGCACTGAAATTACCAAGTAGTCAGCATATATACGTTTGCTCCGCTCGGAAAAAGAAGTATATACTTTCGAGCTCTAAACAGTTCCCTGATGTTGATTGCAAATCCAGCCATATCAGTGGCGAACGGTCGACCAGGGGCGAACATTACATCCCAAGCGATCACTTTCCCACCGGATGAAACGTGTGGTGCTTCTACCCAAGCTCCGCCCACTAGCCCTGAAACTGATTGAGAATGAGAAGACCATTGCAATTTCCGATTGTATTGTGCCGTAGACGATGATCAATACTATGGAAGGGTGAACACTAGAAGAGGATATGTTAAAGGCACAGTTCATGATAATTTCGAGATACCTATTTTAAGTTGAAAAGAAGGCGTGTTGATGTAGAGTAGTGCGAAGAGAGCGAATGAAGCTGCCTAGAAGACTTCCCAAAAGTAGTGAAAATAGGGATTGTACAAGTTGCAATCACGGAATGGGCATGGAAGTGATATTCGGATGAGATTTCAGTTGTCACAATTACGCATAAAGCTGATCACAACAAGTGAAATTGTCTGAAACTGCCCTCCACTATCACCATGGATCATGACAAGTTGTTAGAACTTCCCTTATGGGAGTCACTCGAGATAGTGGACCCTCTACAACACCGTTGAAACTCGTCCGCTAAGGGTGTGGCACCTACATCATACACTGTCTGACCCCTTATTGTGCTCTTTCCAAGACGTTCCTGGGCCTGGCATGGGCACACGTGGAATAGGAAAGATCTCGAATCCATTCTATGGGAAATCTCAGAAACCAATTTGTTCGTAAACTGCGCTTTTCAGTGCTGGAAAACTAATTGAACTCACAATCCACTTTTTCATATTCAGTTGTAGAACGGGACGTGGCTAACAGCAGAGAGTCTCACTTTTTACGCTGAGTTTCTTAAGATTATCTCCATCTCTCGTATCGGACTCTCTGGGAGAGCGCGTAAGAATTATTATGTTGGTTTAGAGATTACTGCCTAGGAGAAAGTTTCGTAGATCGATTGATTACTAACCGACCGCCCATACTCCTATTCTTGTTACTTTTCGTATGTAGTTGTTGAATAGCCGAATGTCGTACGTGTTGTCATCATCGGCGAAATACAACACAGCACTGCGATTCCTATCGTAATTTTCTCTCACATATTGCAGAGCGACGTTGCGATGTGTCCATCCTCTCTCTGCAAAATCATCATAACAACGACGGAACTTCGAGGATCATGTTCACGCACTGGGCATTCCGGCGGATGAGGTGGTAGCTAAGTAAACGTGTGGCACACCACTTCGTTGTAGGATCCGGCTGACGGCTGGCACAGTCGTTTCACCATCTTCGACGACTATCCAGTGAAGTCGCGGCACATGCGAAAGGGTTTGCGATAATCGAAAACAATGAACTGAAGGTTGGCATTAGTGCTCGTATAAAAAACAAGTATGTGGCCAAATATATTCTGGGAAGTTGTAGTGCAAGGGCAGAAAATATAGAAACTACCTTATCATGTCGGCAAGCCTCTCCGGTCTTTTATGCGTAGGTGTCACAACAATGATGGTGGTAAAAGCTGAAGGATGCCTTCTCTCCTCTTCCGAATTCACGCGCGATTGACTTTTTTTGAAAAAATTGCTTAGTAGAATAAAAATAGCAATGAGCACAATTGCAGGTAGCAAGCGGTGTGAGGAGCCGCTTGGATGAACCATCCTGCTCATATGCATCCACCCTGCACGTGATCAGCGAGAAGCCGCTTCCACCTTCGAGAACGACCTTTCTGAAATACTGGATGTAGTCATGAATATCTGGGAGATCTGGGAGGTTTGTAGAGGGGTGCATGAGGGGCTTCACAAAACCCGTATCACATAACGTCGAGATAGTCATAGAAATAATGTGAATTTTGTACAAAAACAAGTAGTGAACTGTTCAGAAGCCCTGAGAAAGAAATTCGTCCGATATTCGAATTGAATAATAAATTGTCCGAATTTCTGCCTTCACTCTCCAGGTGAGGACATTCTCATTTGAAGAGTGTTTCCAGGGAAAAAAGAGAAACTGAAGAGCTAAGCTAGTTTCTTATCTTTTTATGGTCCACCATTAGCAATTCATCGTCTCTTTCTATTTGAAAACGACTTCTTTCACCACAATATGACTCACATAATTGACTTTGATTTTGAATATCTAATTGCCGCCACTGAACACGATTCCTGTCAAGATACATAGCTATTTTTCCTTCGGAATGCTGTCTTCAATGAGACAAGGTAGCAATAGGCTTCGGAAAATTTCGAAAAACTTCTTCGAAAAACTTATAAGACAAACAGTATTCCATTCTGAAGTCGCATATGAAATTGCTGATGTTTCTGGTAACCCCATAGTTCTCATTTTCCAAACTGATATAGGAAGGTTATCCACGTCAACGAGCAAAGAGTTTTGACGAACATACATCGGCCTCCTTTGAGATTGCACCACGTTCCTGCAGTATTGAAAAAGCGTCATGTGTTTGTTAAATGTTGAATTACCCATGCAAGAAGCAAATCTAAGAGAATTCAAAGGCCTCTGCTCCCTTCACGAATCTGCTCCTTACTAACCTACAGAAGATGAGCAGCTTGCTCCATTGAACGCACGATTTCCTTCGTGTTTCTGCCTATGACTTCGTTTTGCTACTTTTCCACCTTTGTGTATCTGGTCAACCGTTTTCTCGGTCCTAGAATTAATCGCATGGGATCGCTTCTGCAGAGTACATGCACTGGCGGGGATTACGAAAGGAAGAAGCAGACACTTTTCTAGGAACAGGTATAGAATTAAAAGCCAGTTGCTCTCCAAAAGATTCTGTTACATATGGCACATTTCTCGAGAGTTTTGAGCACCTCAGTTTATATATAATACATTCTGGGTAATCAGTCTGTGAGCCATCTCAAAAACATAAAAATGATGAATGTACTACCTAAAGCTAATGGAATGAGTTCAGTAGGAATCCATTGCCCATGCTCTAGAAAATACTCTACTGCACACAACTGGTATACCAAGAGAAACTTTTTTTGTCAGTTTTTATCGAGTGTTGTATCCATAGAAACGACAAGCTGGATTTGCAAAGAAATAGGAATCTGTACAGTGGGAGAGGGATAAGGTGAATTGGTTGTCATTTCATGGAAGATAGGTGTGCTAATGATAATGCTGTGAGCATTCAGCCGTAATCTATGGCACGTAAAAAAACCCGTCATCAAATAAAAGCGTCAAGGTAAAACTGGATTTTTGTAAACAGTGAAAAAATAAACAGCAAAAATGAAACGCTCCCCTCAGGAGATTTCGTTTGATCGTTTTTCTCCCCTCCTGCTTCTTTTCCTACGCCCAACTTGACGTGCCAGCCTGCTGCAGATGAAGACAGACAACTCTAGTGTTTTAAGTTAAAGGGACACTTCTTATTCTGAGGTACCTAGCTCAAGCCAAATAATGGGGGCTATGATGCGGAATAGTTTGAAAATGGCGAAGGAAGAGCGAAAATCAGCGGCTTCAAGAAAGATAAGGCTTCAAAAAGTGGTAAGGATGGGGAATGTAAGAAATTATGTGTCTATAACCGTGTTGGTATCTCCTACATAAACTCAATATTCGTCGGCAATTTAAAGGTTCATTGTGAATGGTGCAGCCATTGCCATTGAAGGGAGTGTACGTCGGTCAAGCCGGTTCCGGAGCCCTCACACCTATTAAGTCATTTTCGACCCGATATTGTCCCACGTGCTATCCTCGAGGGCCATAGGTGCATCCTGGGAAGAAATCTCAGAAACCATTTTCATGGTGAACTGTGACTTCAAAGGCAAAGCCATGCAGAGGCCCTCTCAAGGGGAACCCCGTGAATGGAGAATGCATATTTCAAAGAGACCCAAGGGATGAAAGGGGCGATTTAAGGAAGGTTTGAAAACCATTTTAATCGTGTTCTACACCTCCAATTCTCAGATCATTTAGCTTACTTTGCAGTACGTCCTGCGACAAAGTCGGAATGATCTGACTGCCTAAACTGTAGTTTCCCCTTTTCACAGCAGTTCATGCACATATTCCAGTGCTTGAAAGGAGGTGATTCAGCATAATTTAAGCAGTACACTGTATTCAGCGTGTGATGACGTTTACGCTCATGACTACTAGATTTTGATCTGCTGCTCATGGTCTCGAACATCTTGAACAATCTCGAACAATGTGAGCTTCCGGCGACGATTCAATTGTTGACTGGGACAACGTCGCTAACAAAGAAGTTGCCCGGCTCCTTATTATGCTTACTGATATGAACTACTGGTTGAGATTCTAATTATCTTTTATCGACTCGTTAACCTCGACATGAAGTGGTAGCAATTTAATTTCAAGGGATACGCCGAATTTCGTTCTCTTTCGTCAATTATCGAGCCTCTTAACCCTGGCATTGCCACTTTTGGTTAACATACTCTGCCATCCCTTCTCACTGTATGTGCCTAATAACCTGTCAAGGCTACATCGTAAACACAGTATGATCAAGAAATGAGTTGCTCATACCTTTGAAGGTCCCTTATCATCCCTTCTCAGCTGCTTTCACTTTCTTTCTTACGCTATTTGCGTAATCAGCCCTTACCAGTTGAACAGCTCCTGCCATGAACCATCCTCTACACGACGGTTACCACATCGATTGCCACAAATACTAGTCACCCTGTAAACACGTAGAGCCTGAGAAGCACTTGCCAGCTACAATGGGTCACCTACGGTACACAATACCGTCACATTCCACATCACCCACCGTGGTGCCAAGGTTCCTCTGCAATTTGAAAAGGAAGCTGATCAAGCAGTGACTTTTTTAGGCTCCTTGTCATCCTTATCAGTTGTAATCACTTACTTTTACAAACCACGACGTTTCCAACCTTCAGCCTGAATCCTTCCAACTTGATTGCTTTGATTCCAGGAAAGCAGAAGTTAACAATGTCAAGGAGAGTTCAATGTTATTAATGGTCAAACGCTTTCACAAACAAAAGCAAAACCCGTCACCCATGGCGAGTTATATACATGTGTGCATCATAATCATGTCTGTGATAAGCAAAGTGATAGCGACAAGTCAATGGTGCGATGCGCCCTGATACCGCATTCTCTCATCGGCTGTGATCAAGCGAACACAAGGAGACAAAACACAGTGCTATAAATGCTGGCGTGCCTAAAACGACAATTGGAACAATCGCGAAGAAGCCGAAGGGATTGATGCACACTTATAACGATCGTAAGGGTGATGAAACGGTCGTAATGATTATGAAGGCCAAGAAAAAACAGATAAAAATCATCAGAGTCAATAGAAAAACATGAACCAAAGCAGTAAGAACGGAACCTATGAAAAGAACTTCCCTTATAAGATAGGCAAAGATATAAGCTAAGGCGTTCTAGAGAAGCTTGTAAACAGTTCTCATGGTGAACGACGTGTATTCGAACCATGCGGTCGTTCTGCTCAAGCCAGTGCTCAATTGAGAAAACGCTATTCCCTTCGATTAGAGTCCAAAAACCGGGAGAGGTGATCGGGTTCGGAAGCGGTTGGGAAAGTGAAAAACAGGTCAGGAATTCACGTTGGGCGGAGCAAATACGGCTATGAGGGGGTTCACGATAGGGATGGTGATTCGGTTTTAGCAAGCCCAGAGCCTACAAAAATATGTACAGATGTGGTGGGATGGGAATAAAAAGACGGAGGTGGCATAAGGGCAAGTGGCGCACTATCACATGATCTCGGGTTCGAGTCCAGAATCAAACTTCGCACTAGCCAAACAAGCTCTCTATCCCTCCCTGGCCGGTTAATTATAAATAGATTTGTCTGAGAAAACATGATCACTGACTTGTATTACATTGGCTGTCCACCGCACGTACGCATTCAATGGCCACTACGGTTATGAATGGAAGTCGAGAGCGGGGTGCATACTTCGAACGGAATTGACCAACATCCAAAGTTTTATCGTTTATCCTTACTATATATAAAGCGCTCGCGTCTGTCTGTCTGTCTGTCATGAAATTCTATACTACCTGAAGGAACACCTGGAGAGGTCGGGTCAAGTTTGGAATGGATTGAGCATAGGGCAAGACCAANTCTGTACAGTGGGAGAGGGATAAGGTGAATTGGTTGTCGTTTCATGGAAGATAGGTGTGCTAATGATAATGCTGTGGGCATTCAGCCGTAATCTATGGCACGTAAAAAAATCCGT